CATAAGTGTAACTTGGGGTTGGCAGAAGCAGGCCCATAAGTCAACTTTCCTCCTAACCCAATGCCTATTCACTTGTGCCAGTGTTGTTTCCAGTGATTACAAGAGCGGAGCCAAGTCACCATCATCAATTCTGGAACATAGTTCAATAACATCATTCCTATTACTCTCACGGCAAACAGCAGAGCACACCAATATCTCCTACATCTTTGAAAAAGTTAAGAAAATTAGTTGGCCCCAAGCCTACACCAGGGCTCTGAACAAGAATGGCATGAGGGCAAAGCTGGTTCAAATCGGTCCAATAAGACACAGTCACTAGATCTCCCTTGTCTGTGGGAACCATCTTAATCACATCTCTCAGGCTTCTCTGAGGCCTTGTATTCATGCAAACTTGAATACTCATTGAATAGGAAAAGCCTGCCTATTTTTGGAAGTCTGATGTAATTAATTTCTTTTGTCAAAACATGGCAAACACAGCACTTTGGGAGCCATATAGTGGGGTAGGAAAAAATGTCAACTTCTGGGACTCAGACTCTCTAGGCCTAGAGTCAGGTCCTTGCCAGATTGTGAGGTTGCATCCAGTGCTGAGAAGCCGGAGCTGTTAGACATTCAAGTTGTTCTTGCCCTGACCTGATTCTGTGCACATTAAGTAAGTTTTGACTCCATCGTTTCTCATTGGCCTTTTTATTTATTTTTTATTTTTTTATTTTGCAATTGTCATCTAGGCTACTAATCTGTAGAAATTCCCATCACTGGATCTTAGGTCTGGTTTGGGGTGGGGGATGTTAGGGTGCATCTCTGCTCCACAGTAGCCCTTTGGAGGTTTGCAGCAGCCATGTGTTCTTGAAATCTTTTCTTCCCCAGATGAAATGGCTCTAGTTTCTTCAACCCATCACCTGGAGACCCTCTCCCCTCTGACGCACAGGACCCAAAGCAGATGTTGTCAAAGGTCTGGTCCCCAGTTGATGTGCTCACCTTGTTATACTGCGAGCCCCTGGGGAGCTGCAAAAATTGTTCTAGAAAAGACAGTACAAACCAGACTAATTGGCAGCCCATCAAAAGCTGCTGTCTGGCCATTCTCCCTGAAGATAATAGAAAAAAGGAGAGAAAAATGTGACTATTTTATACATTAAGATTCTGCCCTGCTAACATTCCCTAATAACATATTACTTGCAGTGTCATGGGCAGGGCCCTTTTCTTCCTCTTAAACTTTCATATGAACTAAATAATATTTGTGTCGCGCCAGCACGGCCAAGGGTGAACCCAAGTGGGGGTGGTGAAGGCTTGGAAAAGACAGACAAGAGAATGAAAGCTGGAACTCGGTGGGATACTGCTTCCCTAATGGGGAACCAGCAGCACCACGGACTACAAACCGTGTCTTTATTTTATAGCAAATGCCACGAGGCAAAGTAAGGGTGTGGTCAAGATGTTGACAACATTCTCATGGGTTTCAATCCTACTCAGTTACATGCACCTGATCAAGCTTTTGTTTATTTGCAGCCTAGATCACTCAGGCACGGGGGCCAGGTGTTCGGACCATAGCTTCAAGCTTACAACTGTAGCTGTTGGCTATCATTGTGCTGGGAGGGCTCTGCCTTCCAAGCTGGGACTTGCACGTGGCCATGAGAGGACCGTGCCCTCTCATCAGTCCTAGGCTTGAACCCGTTCAAACACTGTAGCCGTGCCCCACAAACATGGGTTCTTTTTCTGGTATTTGTTTCCTGAACTTTATAAAAATAGGTCAGGTTTATAGCATAGCCCACTGTGAAGAGTAAAGATCTTTGGTATTCTATAATAAATTATTTGGAGAGGAAAAAACACTTAAATTTCAGGGCAATTATTGAGCCTAGGAATTTAGGACTAATAGCCATACTGGAAGCTGGCTATTAATGGTTACTTTGGTGTTATATTACCAGGTTCTTTAAATGATCCAATTGATTTTTAGGTGATGGAAGAAGATTGAGTGAAATTTAAAAAAAAAAAAAAGTGATGTCATTGAGATGGATTTTACAGGGACAAGTAGAGCAGATAAGTTCTGTCTCAGCTTTGTGTGTGGTTTATGAATTAGCCTTGGGTAAGTCACTCATCTCTCTGCCTCAGTTTCCTTGTCTACCAAATAAGAGTGTCACCCTCAGTAACCTGAGGTTCCTTCAAATTCTTAACTATAAGTAGTAATTCTGGACCTTTCCCCGCTTCCCCCAGATTAGACACATACCTGTGAGGTCATGTTCCAGTCTCAGGAGCTGTTGTGTGTGTGTGTGTGTGTGTGTTGTTGTTGTTGTTGCTTTTATATCAAGGTACCAGTATAGATAAAAATAATAGATGTAGCTTATGCATAAGTCCCCCCCCCCTTTCACTGCAATGATTATCACTTTTACATCAAGAAGCACAGCTCTGGAGAACTTTGCCACTTGAAAGATTTTTTAAAAATTTAAATGCATCAATTTAAAAATATTAATATACTTCTATTAATAAACTGGGGGGTCCAGTTATATATTCCAAATATGCTATGTAATCCTACCAAAACGAAAAAACAACATCCTGCAAACATCCCCCTTCTAGGAGTCTTCAGAAAGCAGCCCTCCCCTGCTTACTGGACATCCGGTCACTCTGAGCAGCTGTTGTCTGGTGGCTGCAGGCCACAATGGTCCAGAGTGACAAGGTCTGCCCAGGGGCTGATGGCACAGTCACTCCTTGCAACTGGAAAGGGAGAGCTGTTTGGTTTCCTAAGAGAAAGAGAAACACCTGCTGGTATAATGAAGTTTAATTTATCATCTCAAAGCCCCTCCTCCTGCAGTGAGACCCATGTAGATGCCCAGCCTGACCCCCGGGGCCTGTCTGGAGAGGATCCACATTCCCCTAGAGCAGTTCTCTTCCTCGGTGTGCGGTGTGCGGGGCGAACAGGAAGAGCAGCACTCCCTCTGCCTGTCAGGAGCCAGGCTGTCCCATCAGGCAGCAGCACCTCCCCCACTCCGTGCTCCGCGCTCTGAAATGGCACCTGCTAGAGCATCCCCATGAAGCTCAGCACTGAGGACAGCGTCCCGCTTGCCTGTCGCCTGCACTGCAGCGCACTCAAGTGTCAGCTGCTGGCAAAGCATGTAAGACAGCCAGTCACATAGAAACATGGGAGCTGCACAGGGGTTAGCACAGCCCTTCTGGCCACTTCTGTAAGAAGGGACTCGGTGTGAAACTAGAAAAGAAGCAAACTTGGACCCCAGATCAGAGGTCTCACCACGGGAAGAAAGGCCTTCAGAGGGTTACAAGGCTTTGTATCAAAGGCCCAGAGAGCTATCACCTGGGTCTCCCCTGACCCTTGAGATTGAACGAGCTCAGCTTCACATTCCGCAGTCTGTGGAAACCTGAATTCTGTGGCTTCTTGAGGGCTTGGGGTCTCTGCCTCAGCTCTTGCTTCTCTCTCTGGTATCTTAGCTTGGCAGCTTATCGGGTTGATTATGAACAAGCATCTGTGAGCATGATAGACACAAACAAAAAGTTGGTGCTGTTGAGGAGAATCACATTTCCTATCCCATAATGGTCTAGTTCAGTGGTCGGCAAACTCATTAGTCAACAGAGCCAAATATCAACAGTACAACAATTGAAATTTATTTTGAGAGCCACATTTTTTAAACTTAAACTTCTTCTAACGCCACTTCCTCAAAATAGACTCGCCCAGGCCATGGTATTTTGTGGAAGAGCCACACTCAAGGGGCCAAAGAGCCGCATGTGGCTCGAGAGCCGCAGTTTGCCCACCGTGGGTCTAGTTGACAGACCATATGAGGCTTTCCTATTCTCTTAGCCTTATACTCTAGGACCAGCAGCACCTGCAGAACTTGTTGCTTGTTAGAAATGCAGGAGTTTGCGCCCCATCCGACTTGCTAACTCAGAATCCAGATTTCGGCAGGCTGTCAGGAGATTCAGTTCACTCCAGTGTGAGGAGCACAGGGCTTCTTTTCTGTCACCTCACCTCAGGCCCTGGCCCTTGCTCTCCGCTTCTCTCTCTTCCTCCTCTTCCCTCTCTCTTGTTCTCTCATCTCCCTCCCTCCCTGTCAGGAGCTACAGACAAACTCTTTGAGTCATGACAGAGCAAGCCTCTTCCCTGGAGCCTCAGAGCCAGTCACCACGTGGCTCCGAAGATCTCACCTTACCAGCCCTCAGTCCTGATCCCAGCCGTGATCCAGTGTTTGTCTAAACCAGGTCCCCTTCTTAGAATGGTTCTCACACCTGCTACTTTGAGAAGAGAAATCTCTCCATCTCATTACAAAACGTATCCCGGATTTTATAAAGATATCTGGTTTCCACAGACCCCTAAATACAAGCTGTCATGTAAGTGTAGAGCTGGAGGAGCTAAGTCTTCTACAGGAAGGTGACTCGCTCAAGGTCATATTGTGGTTATTGGCGGAGGCAGGACCAGAAAAGGTCTTCTACATCCCAGGGCAGGCTTCTCTCCTTTTAGCTGATCCTTCAAACAGCTACCAGATTCTCTTCCCGAGGTGATTTTGTGAATTTGACTCCAAAGACTTCTTAAGAATCATCCCATCTTGTGGGCCTCAGCTGCAAAAGAGTAGGTTTGGGTCATTAGCTAGCGCTCTCAGGGGCAGGGTTGCGATCACAAGTGTGTTACGATCAGTTGTGAGGTGCTTTGAAATTTTTTCGTATGATCATTATAGTCTTTTTCGTAGAGAAAATTAAAGATTATCATGTGATTGTCATTCTCAGTTGTGTTCTGATGCACTTTCTGGAACAGGAGAAAAGGCTTGGGACACACACCTGGGAATTGTTCCCTGGTTGTCTGTCCTGTGTGTCTCAACAGGCTGACCTACAAGATTCTTTTCAGCTCCATCATCTTCCGAGCTGTAAGGCTCGGAGAAAAGACTGCACTCAAAAATGTGAACCTCCAGCTCCCTCCTGTGATATGGTAGCTTCTCTTAGAATTTAAATCTCACTCAGGAACCTTGTGTGGGTAACGTTAATGTTTTTCCTCCTCCTCTTCGGCTTTGCTTCAGGAAGCGAGAGGAAGAAAACAAGCGAAGAGAGTCAGAACAGCAGAAGGGAAGACTGAGTCCAGATTCCTGCAGGCCCCAGGCCCCTCCGTGTCTGCCCGGCACCCAGGCTGAGCCCCCCGGGCAGAGCGGGGGCCCCAGCAAACAGCCTCCCGCCAGCCGTGCGGCCCAGAGCCCTGAGCGGAGAACCTGCAGAGGGTCTCCGGGCAGAGCCCCAGAGCAGCACCTCTCCCCAGACCTGCAGGGAACAGACCCCAGGAAGCCGAATGGTAGGTGTATTGCCTTTGTTATCCGATGCCGACCTGTGGACTGTGGGCCCTTTTATGGGTGTACACATAGACCATTTACATTTAATATACTTGTGTCAGCACTTAAGCCTGCCATTTTATTATTTATTTTCTATTTATTTCTCTAGTTCTCATTCCTGTTTTTCTTTTCCCCCTCGCTTCTCTTCCCCGCCCCCCCTTCCCTGTGGGTTACTCAGACTTCCTTTAGGATTCCATCATGATTGATCTATGGTGTTTGTGGGTAGATCTCTCTAGTTTCTGCAGTAGTTGCTCTGAATGTCACAAAATACATTAGTGACATGACAGTCTTTGGTATCAGCATCTTACCATAGAATGAAATGTGGGAACCTCACTTCCCTTTAGATGCCTGTACCTTCCCCACCTTTAAGTGTCTTTGCCTGGAATCAGATGGTTTTGTAGCTTTTGTTTCAATCAGGAAATATAATTTATAAAACTCAGGAGGAGAAGGATAGTCTATTTTATGTACCCATATCTTTTATTTTCTTGAAGACACTATGGTGCTTTTAAAAAGAATGCTTACTCTACTAGTATTTTAACCAGCATTTCTAGGTATGTGTAGTGGGAAGGCTTTCAGATGATCAAACTACTCTTGCTAGAACTAGAAGTTAACCTTTTTACTAGTCATAACCACCACTATCAAGGTAATGCTATCAGATGGGTCTGAACATTTTTGTGTACATAAATGGGCAGACTTGCCCTACTGTACAAGCTTTGAACCATAAATATTGTTTCCCATTTTCCTTGTTTTCCCAAGAAACATCCAGAGAACCTTCTAAAGGCCGATCTGCCTGTGTCCACTTCAGCCCCGATGAAGGCCACGATGCGAACAGGTGGCCAGGAGTCTCCTGTGCTGAGAAGCCCAGAGGTGAGACCGTGGGCGAGCAGCACTGTGACAGGGGGAAAGGCTCCAGGAGGCAGCCCCCCTGGGCCAGGGCTGCTGGGCCTGAGGAGAAGGGAGAGGACGCCATCGGGGCAGCTGCCAGCCTTCCCCAGCAGGATGGCCCCCGGAAGCCCTGCAGGCGGCATGACGCAGCCCCCAAGGTCAAGTGTGGCTCCCAGAAAAGGCGCATTCAGGAGCTCCGAGGAGGAAGGTGCTCCCCAGCTGGTTCTAGCCGGCCTGGCAGTGCCAAGGGGGAGGTGGCCCATGCCAGGCAGAGTCCTCTCCACCATCGGACACCAAGACACAAAGGGACACAGGACAAGCTCGAAGGAGAGAGCTACTCAGACCTGCCCCGGAGGACAGAGGCGTTGAGGCCAGGAGTCAGGAAGGCGGGGCCACCCACCCCATCTGAGGACGCTCAGATGCCTAAGGAGACACATCCCACCCCCGGGCCCCTCTCCGGGGAGAGTGTGAACATCGACCTTCTTCCTGTGGAGCTGCGGCTGCAGATCATCCAGAGAGAACGAAGCAGGAAAGAGCTGTTTCGCAGAAAGAACAAGGCGGCAGCCGTCATCCAGCGGGCCTGGAGGAGGTGAGGAGTCTGTGGTTGTCCCACACCCTGCCACACCTGTGCTCGTGGGTGTTTCCCAGGGAATTCTATGTGCTGGCCGGACAAGGCCAATTGTTGAGCCAAGCCATGAAATTCCCACCTGTAGACCCCAGTCATTCACACTGGATACGCTGTTTAGGTGTTTTTGCCAAGAAAGAGAGGAAAGCACACAGGATTGCTCTGTGTAAAGAAAAGAGTCCTCGGGGGATGCTCTCACAGGTGATCGGACCTTGGGCAAATCACTTGGCCTCCCTGACCCTCAGTTTCCTCACCTGGAGATGGGATTGAACAATGGCTGCACCTGTCCTGTTATGGGACAGATTGCAGAATGAGATAATGTGTGCTTCATGAATTCTAAAGCCACACACACAGATATTTTTCTTTTTATGTTTTTACTATTCAGGAATTAGCCATTCCCCAAATAAAAATCTAGGGCCTGGATATAGTCGATTCAGTGGCTGAAATAAAAACCTGCGTTAGCGTCTCTCACGCTCAGAATGCAGAGTGGGTGTGGGAGAACGGCTGGAGACTTCCTAACATGCTGAGTCAGACGCCTCCAGGGAGTCCTTTGCTGCAGGTTTTGACATATTTTGGACTCGCCTTCATATTGCAAGCCCCCCTGGGGCCCAAATCCTGCCCAGGTCTTACAGCGCTGGCCAGGGCCCCGGGGCGGGCTGGGCCGGCTCCCACAGGTGGGAGTCACGTGGCCTCCCTCTCCACAGGGAGGAAGGTCGATGGAGGAACAAAGCAAGCAAATCACTGAGCACAGGTGTGCCACATATCAACGTGCCTGTCAGGAGATAAAAGGGCCCGAGCGCACCCACCATTGGCTGGGGAAGAGAAGGGTAGTGAGGGGGGCAGTTATTGTGAGGTCCAGGCGGGGAAAGGCCCCAGGGTCCATGGTGCCAGAGCGGCCTAACGCAGAGCCCTTGCTTGCACAGCCTTTGCTATACTTCGGGATGTCTGTCCGAGGTCTGGGCTGTTTACAGGGTTGTCTTCCAGCCACACAGGGCTGAGCGTCCCCATTTCACAGATGAGCATGTGGTCTTAGAGAGGAAATGGCTTGTCCCAGGGGCGCGGGTGCAGCACGTGGGGCTGTGTCTGACTCAAGGCCCAGGGCCTTTTTCGTACTTTGGTGGTAACGGTAGGGTTTGCGTGGTCACAATGAAGAAGGTGGCGGCAGGCCTGGTGCTCGGCATCCTGGAGAGGCCAGAGAAGGGTACCATGGGTGCTCACACTCGCCAAGGTAACGTTGCTCCGGGGAATGTTGTTATTAATTCTAACCGTTGGCATTGGCATTGAGTGGGCACTTGTGCCGGGCACTGTGCTGAGCTTTACTTGTACTGTTAACTCACTAATCTTCACAATAATGTTGGGAGGCGGATCCCCTCCCCACCCCGTTCCCCATAGGCCGACACTGAAGCGCTGCCAGCTTCTCGGTCCTCACAGAGCTTCAGGTGCCCGTGCTGGCTTGGGCTTGGGCTCGGGCTGCCTCTGAAGCCACAGGTGGGAGTTGGCCTTGCTCCTCTGCTTGGGAGCTCTGCCAGGACCTGCCCTGCTGCTGTCTGAGAGGCAGGTTTTATTAGGCATTTCAGCCGAAACCTGGGACCTGAACGAGCCAGCGGGTTTTGCACCACGCCATGCCCCGAGCTGCTCCCCCGCTGATATGCCTCCGTCAGACTGGCCTCTGGCTCCTTTGAAGAGTTGGAAGCTGACAGGTCCTGTCAGTGTGCCCACAGCAGCAAACGAGCTTTCAGTCATTGCCCCCGAACAATGGGCCCATAGTCTGGGCCCCCCAGGGAGGCAGCCCCCCTCTGTGCAGCCTGAGCCCTGGGCATCAGCTCCCACAGGCTCCCAGGAAGGTGCAGGCTGTGGGAAGCCATGTCTGGAGACAGTGAAAACACTTCCACTGATGCTGGTGTGGCCTTCCACACCTTTCATGGAAAGGACAGGAGCCCAGAGTGCTGTCTGGGGGCAGTGCAGTGCAGTGTGTGGCGCCGCCTGACCTCAGGAGCCCTTGGGTGGACCAGGAACGGGGCTGGCCCAGAGGCTCCGTCACTGCAGCTGCTGGTACAGGGGGGCAGTGTGGAGGGAGAGAGGCAGGCTGCAGGGGGTGCCAGGATGGGGTGAGAGGTCGAACCCCAGGGCCCAGAGGAAATGAAGCTTAGCCTCAATGAGTTTTATTGCCAGTCAAGCCTTGACTGTTTTGAAGATTGAAGCCAGATACGGGACAAGCCAAGCTGGGCTGGAAAGTTGCTGTAAAACAACTCTTTTACACGCATAAGGCACCTTTCTGTCCGATCTTTGCCAGCGTGTGCTGAGCCCTATCCAGCAAGGGGAGGTGGGCCAGGACAGCCCTGAGCCCGGGGCTGAGAGGAGTGGGCATGCTAGGTTTCTCAGCCACCAGGAGTGCAAGTTCTCCTGGAGAATGGGGCCCCCGGGCCGTGGGGCACGGGCCCAGGCTCCATACAGAGTAGGATAGGGGAAGCTGTGCCCACTGAAGGCTGGAGCCGCTGCCACTTCAGCCAACACCTGGGCTTCCAGGAGTCCTCTGCCCGGAGCACAGACACTTGGCATCTCAAACAGAAGGAACTGAGCTGCTCCTGTTGCTGTCCGGCCACTCCAGCTTGTCCCCTCAGCTGGCCTTTTGGAGGTAGTGTTACTTCCTGTGGGAGAGGGACGGCATGGTTTGTCGCTCCAGGTAAAGACAGACAGACCTGTAGTTTGACTGAAATCAGCCTTTCGGGGCAGGAGAGGGGCTGCACCAGGCCCTCCAAGGAGCTTTTGGAAGACTTGGGAAGGTCCTTGCCCATTTGGTGTGCCTTGAAATCAGCCCGGGGCCTGCCCCTCTGCAGCACCCTGTGGGCTCAGCAGTATATTTTTTATTAAATTATTATTTTTGTACATATACCAAAGCCCCCCCCCCCCCCGTACATACCCTCCCTCCCCAGAGTTTTGTGTCCATTGGTTGTACTTATATGCATGTATACAAGTCCTTCGGTTGATCTCTTATCTCCCCCAGATGACATTAATCCTTTTTAAATGTTTAGTAAAATTCATCAGAAGCCATTTGGTCCTGGCTTTTCTTCATTAGATTTTTTATGACTGGTTCAGTCTCTTTACTCATTACTGGTCTTTTCAGATTCTGTATTTCTTCCTGATAAAGTCTTTATAGGTTGTCTACTTCTAAGAAGTTTGCTGTTTCTTCTAGGTTGTCCAGATTGTTAGCATCTGGCTGTTTATAGTAACGCTTACGATCCTTTGTATTTGTGGTATCAGTTATAACAAGTCATCTTTTTCATTTATAATTTTGTTGATTTGGATCTTCTTTTCCACTGGTTATTCTAGCTAATGGTTTATAAATAATGCTTATCTTTTCAAAGAATTTTATTTTCCTGTTCTCTATTTTATTTATTTTTGCTCTAATATTAATTTCTTTCCTTCTGTTAACTTTGGGCTCAGTTTCTTCTTTTTCTAATTCATTAAAACATGCCATTAGGTTGTTTGAGATCTTTCTTAATGTAGGCACTTATTGCTATGAACTTTCCTTAGAATTGCTCTTGCTGCATTCCAGAATTTTTAGTACGTTGTTTCCATTTTTGTCTCAATTTACTTCCCCCCCTTTAATTTCTTCTTTGATCCATTGATTGTTAGAAGAGTATTGCTTAATTTTCATGTATTTGTGAGTTTTCCTCATTTTATTGATTTCTAGTTTTATACCATCATGGTCAGAGAAGATACTGGAAAAGATTTCAGTCTTCTTGAATTTGGTGAGATTGTTGTGGTCTAACATATGGCCTATCCTAGAAAATGTTCCATATGTGCTTGAGAATGTGTCTGCTTCTATCGTCAGCTAGAATGTTCTGTATATCGGTTAGATCCACTTGGTCTGTAGTGCTGTTCTAATCCACTGATTCTGTATCTGAATGATAGATCCATTGTTGAGTGTAGAGCACCAAAGTCCCCAGCCATTATGGTTATTTTTTCTGTTAGTTTTGCTTTATATACTTAGAGGCTCTGATGTTGTGTGCATATTTAAAATTGTATCTTCTTCCGAAACCGGTTTGGCTCAGTGGATAGAGCGTCGGCCTGCGGACTGAAAGGTCCCGGGTTCGATTCCGGTCAGGGGCATATACCTTGGTTGCGGGCACATCCCCAGTAGGGGGTGTGCAAGAGGCAGCTGATCGATGATTCTCTCTCATCGATGTTTCTAACTCTCTATCCCTCTCTCTTCCTCTCTGTAAAAAATCAATAAAATATATTTTTTTAAAAATAAAATTGTATCTTCTTAAATCCTTTATCATTATTAGTCTTTTACCATTTTTAAAGTCTGTTTTATCTGACTCTGAGTGTAGCTACCCAATAATTTTTGAGGGGTTATCATTTGCTTGAAATACCTTTTTCCATCCCTTCACGCTACAATTTATCTTTTATAGGCAATATATTGTTGGGTCTTGTTTTTGTGTTGTTTTTAATCCATTCAGCCATTCTGTGTCTTTTGACTGAAGTATTTAGTCCATTTATTTTTAAAGTAATAATTGATGGATAAGGACTTCTTATTGCCATTTTGTTCATTGTTTTTGGCTGCTTTGTAAATTTGTTTTTCCTTGGTTGTTTTTTTTTTTGTTTTTGTTTTTTTGTATTTTTATCCTTCTGTCTTTTTTTTGTTGTTTTGCTTTGATGCTTTTTGGTATCAATATGCTTTGCTTTCTTTATGTTCTTTTGTGTAACAAGTACAGGTTTTCCCTTATGGATACCATGAGCCATTCATAGGATATCTTATAATTATAACACCCTATTTTAAACTGATAACAATTTAACTTTGATAGCATTCCTAAACTTCATACTTTTACTCCCCTGCTTACATTTTAAGTTATATCACAGTTTACATACCTTATATTGCATTTCCAATAACAAATTATTGTAGTTATGGTTATTTTCATACATTTGTTAACTTTTAAACTAGAGTTGTGAATTATATACCATCATTACCATATTACAGAATCTAACTTTGATAATGTTAACTATAACCAGTGAGTTTTATATTACCTTCTTATATTTTTATGATGTCAATTAGCATCCTTGTACTGCCACTTAAAGATCTCCCTTTAGCATTTTTGTAAAGCAGGTCTAGTGGGGATGAACTCCATGAGCTCTTGTTTATTCAGGAAAGTCTTTATCTCTAATTAATTTCTAAAGGACATTAAAAATTTGCTCTTTGCCAGGTAAAGAGTTTTTGGTTGACAGTTTTTTTCTTTCTACTTCAAATATACCATCTCATTCTGGTTTCTGAAAAGTTTCTGTTGAGACATCTGCCAATAGTCTTATGGAAGTTCCATTTTACATAACTTGTCTTTTTTCTTGCTGCTTTCAAAATTGACTTTTGGCAATTTAATCATAATGTGTCTCAGTGTAGCCCTATTCTGGTCCAACCTATTTTAAGGTCTTTGGGCCTCATGAATCTCTTCGGGGATTTGGGAAGTTTGCAGCCATTATTATTTTAAATATACCTTCTGTCCTTTCTCTTTTCCTTTTGGAATTCCCATATGTAGATACTATTTCTTTTCATTGTGTCCCATAAGTCCTGCAGGATTCTTTTTACTCTTATTTTTTCTCCTCTGACTGGATAATTTCAAATGTCCTGTCTTCTAGATCACTTTATGGTCAAGTTTGCTTTCAAATTCATCATTTTCAACTCAATTCTCAAATTTTTCAGTTCAGTCCTATTGTTTATGCTAGGATTTGTTTGGTGCCCTTTTTTTGGTGGCTTCTATTTCTTTGTTGCATTTATTTCCATTTGGTTTATGCATTGGTCTTCCTATCTTCCTAATTTCATTTAGTTGCCTGTGTGTTCTTATATAATAGTTCCCTAAACTTCTTTAATATGATTATTCTGTATCTTTTGTCTGACTGTTAATAGATCTCCATTTCTTTAAGGTTAGTTATCAGAGTTCTTATAGTTTCTTTTAGTGGTGTCATGTTTACCTGATTTTTCCTGATTCTTGATTGCTTAAGTTGATATCTGCACATTTGAGTAAGCAATTTCCTCCTTTTACAGATTTGCTTTGACAGAGACAGTTCTTTACCAGTCGGCTCAGTTGAGTTTCTGGACATGTCTGCTGGTTAAGTTCTTAGGCAGTTGAAACTTCCTGTCTCTTTTTAGACAAGGCCACTGCTCAAGTGCGGAGGGGGAGAGGCATAGGTTAGCTAAGAACAGTTGATAGGGCTGCTGGCTTGGTTCCCTGCCCAAGCAAAGCTGTAGGATGAGCTCTGTGGTTGCATGGGTTCTCTGTGTAGGCTTATAGTCATTTGGTACTCTACTTAGCAATGAATTGGCTTTTCTGCCTGGCACAAAAGCAGAACAGGCCTCAGGGAAGACTGTACACTGAATTCCCTGACCAGCCATGGCCACCGGTCTTAGTTTGCAGAGGGAGAAAGCCACAGGCTGTGCTGTTTGCTCAAGTACCACTGTAAGGTTTGCTGGATGGGCTATGCAGGTTCCTCTGCTCTGGTTAGATTCCCTGGTAGGGCAGGCTGTATTCAGCAATGGCCAGGCTATAAATTACTTTCCCTGCCCAGGCATAGTGGGAGAACTGATCTCCAAGGGCAGCCAAGGCTTTGTTTGTGATCTTGATTCAAGCCAACCTACTCCCCAGGTTCCCTGGAGGAATGATACTATTGGCCTTTCTCTGCAGGTGATCAGCTCTGCCTGCCATACTCTGAGTGCTGCTGGGCTGTGCAGCTTCCAGGTGGTCTGGCCACCATCTCTGATCAGGCAGGGCCAGGTGCTGTAGTCAGCAGTGAGTGCAGCTATAATTGCCTGGGTGAGGTCAAACTAGGTTCCAGCAACTCTTTTAAGGGCTTGAACCAGATAGATCTGTATCCTGAGTTCTCTGGTCAGACTCTACCACCATCTTGGCTCTTCAGATCAGCAAAGGCACTGGTTGGGACTACTACTTGGATGCTATAGGTAGGAACTCAGTCTGCAAAGATCCATATGCTGGTTGTTGTAGGTCCCTCCCCTATTCCGTGTCACAGATTCCCCTACACTCTTCTTGGGGAAAGACTGGAATGGGGGCTCCCAAGAAGCAACCCACAGTGCTGGGGAGCTGGATGTCTGCTCTGGCTTCTCTTTTCCTATTGGAGGAGCTGTAGGCTCAAGGTAGACCTCTCAGCAAGATGCTGCACTGAGCAGGGGGAAGGGTAGTGCTGTCATCATGTAGCCACTCCTCTTACCCTTTTAATGGGGTCTGCCTTGGTCTTGGTGGTGCAGGGGGTTCTTCAGTTGCTAGATCCTAGAAATCCTTTATTCAAGGATTTGCTCAGTGGTCTCTTGTCCATGAATAGTTATTAGTTGTTCTTTTGATGAGGGAGCGTGAAGTCAGGAATGACCTAGGTCACAATATTGGTAATGTCGCCTCAACTCAGCCTTTATCAGACTCATGACATCTGCCTCACAAATTTAGTTTCAGGCTTAATCATAGGGAGAGCGCCTAGTATACAACAGGTGCTGAACAAATGTTGGCTTTTTCCCCGTGTAGCCCAGCCTTCCAATATCATTCCCTCACTAATACACAGTGCTTCAGACACATCATCTTACTGACTGTCCTGTACAAAGGCTTGTATCTCTCTGTTCATGCCAATTCTGCTGCCTAGAAAGCCTTTTTCTCACTAAGTAACTCCTCCTCCTTCAAAACCCCAGTACAGCCAAATCACTAATTATTTGTCCCACGTCTGTCTCATGCCATCTAGCTCCTTGTTCTCAGTACTTCTGGCCTATCCTATCTTGAAGGCAAGGACTCATGGCTTCCTAATTCATAAACTATTCAATGGCGGGGGGGGGGGGGGGGGGGGTTGGGGGAGAAACAGAATTCAATATTGAACATACTGAAATTAGGAATGGAGCTTAAAAGATCTCCTAAGTTCAGCAAAACTATTCCTATAGCTTCTAGGAGCCTTAAAGAAATTTAGTTTTCTCAATACTGTGATCTTCCCCTCTCTGATCCCACCAGCTACCAGCTCAGGAAGCACCTGTCCCACCTTCTGCATATGAAGCAGCGTGGAGCCAGAGATATGGACAGATGGAACCGAGAATGCATGGCATTGCTCCTCCAGGTTTGGAGAAAGGAACTGGAAATAAAACCCTCAAAAGCCACTGCAGTAAGCAGGACCACCAAGAATCCACCCAAGAGCAGCTCAGGCACCAAGTCCACCAGGCACTCGGTGCTCAAGCAAATCTACGGTAACTGTCCTTCCAGGCACTTTGTAGTTTAGAGGAAGCACCCCCCAGCATGTCACACCAGAATCTAAAAAGGGATTTAATTGCATTGGGCAAACCTTCATTCAGGTAGAAACTTGATTGTATTTCCAGTCACCAAGAGAATCTCACTCAGCACATTTAGTGCCACCCTTCCAGAAATTCTGGATTAGAATTGGTTTGAGATGAGGCATTCTGGCATCTCAGCCCAGAAAGCCTTCTAGCCTAAAGCTCTTCTGCTGGGTTTCATAACTAAAACCTCTTCAGGCCACTACTTGGGTCTTCCCCTTACATTACCAATTTGGAGGACTCCAAGCACCTGCCTGCCTCACTTTGACCGTTCTTTTGTTGAGAAAGTACAGGGTTGCCTACCTGGGAATGTCCCAAACCCAAACACTACAGTAAATGCTTGTTTAGCAGATGAAAACATTTTCAGCTCTGTAAACAGCCCATCAAAATAAACTCAGCAGAGAACCCGACTAGCTCCCCAACAGGGGAAAAAAATTGTTTTGAGCCAAAGCACCTTTAACAGATCTGTGGCTCAGGCAGCGAAATCTCAAAACTCACCCCTGGCCTACTGGTATTTCCACGCCATACTTAATTTAGGCAGATCCTTGCTTGCAAGCTCAAGCCTTTACTCAAGAAATTGAGAACTTGGTCAGACTGCAGCTGTCATTGCTGAGAGACAGACTATCATTGTTGACTGATTTCAGGTTGCTCTCAAGAAGGGAAAGTACATCATCCCACAAGATCTTCAAAAGCCCATTCTGTGCTGCGTCTCAACTCAGGTAAGGCAGCCACTGCACTGTCAGTGTGGGGAAGCACTTTCCTTTTTCGTTTCATCCCCACAGACAAGACAAATTGCCAGAGGTTTCCAATGGTCAAATAGACATGTTTTTCATCCCCCTTTCCTGGAATTATTACTGCAGTCAGCCTCTATCGCCATAGGAGGCAAGTTATTTTTATAACCAAAGCTATTGTTAAAATTACCTCCACTAGATAAAATAAACTGTAGCTGCTATTGATCACCTTTACTTATTCGTTCACATACAGAAAGGGGGAAATGAAAATACTGCTGTTCTTCAAAGTCATACCTTGGGAGTTTTTGTTCTGTTTTGGTTTCACATTAAGCTCCTCCACCTCCTTCCTAAAGTTGGAAAAAGGCCCTTAACCACAAATTCTGGCTTTTGCTTTTTAGGGCCTCACAAGGAAGACATTAATATTTAACAGCATGTCCAGTTCAGGCTCAGCTGTGCACTTCCCCTCACAGGAGCAGCTCAGGAAACTTTTCCAGCTGCAAAGCAGGGTATTTTATCCAGGGCCCCTTCATTCACACCGGCATTAAGTGTGGGTGATAAGTTCAGTGCTGTCAGCAGTTAATGCCAGGTCGTTGTTTCTCGTGGGTGGCTGTGACAACACGCTGCCCCCATCCTCCCCATCCAGTCATCCTGCAAGACAGAGTGCAGCTGGGAAGGTGAACAATGACTGTCAGCATGAACTTTAACATTCATTTAGTTTTTGATGGGGGAAAACTTGGAAGTAAGGGAAGAGTAATTACTGCCAAATCTTTAATAAGAAGAGTCAGGCAACTCATGTAATATAGGCAGACTGATCAGGGAATGGTGGGTGGGGTAGTTGGAAACTTTCAAAGTAATTAAGGCCCATTGTCGTTCTATGTAAAAAAATGAAAACAAAAAACTCCACACATATACTTGAGTGAATTAAGGATGGTTTCCAAAACAGAACGATCAGATTTAACTACAAGCGGGGTACCAGTTAGGTAAACGTGTCTCAAGAGAAAAACCCATTACTACCAGAAATCTTTAAAAATGAAGGTATTTAGTAGAACAAAAGGTTTTTAAAAAAGGACTCACGGTCAAGGAACAGAATAAAGAAATGGAGAGAAATGCATAACCATTTCTTAGGACTTCATATGAACAGCTTTTTACCCTACACATATAATTCAGACAGGTCTAAAAACGGACAAGGACTGAAGGGAATCCTTTCCTAAGCCTGAACTTGGGCAACACAAGGTTTTTATTAGGCTCACCCACCCTTGTCAGCCACTAACCAGGAGATGCTCAGAGCTGCTAGCTACAGTTTAGCTGAAGCCTGTGTTTTATACAGAAAACAGGTCTATAAGTTTCTGCAATGTGAAATCATGTATCAGATTGAACCAAAAAGAAATCATTAATTTTGGTCTTCAAACCTTGACTAGAAACAGTTCATTTTTTGCTTAAGAATTCCATAGGGTTATTTTCTGATTTTGCTCAGTTCTGTTTTGCTTTAGAAATTGTTTGGCACACTGTAGGTATTCAGATATTTGCATGACGACTGTTGCTCCCAACCTTAGAGGAGGAGCAGAACGTGAGCTGGATAGAGCAAAAGTGACAGCACCCACAGACTGTTTCTGTACAACAATCCCTGTTCCCTCGTCTTCTACACCCAACCTGCAAACTACCCCCAAAGAATAGCACGTAGTAATGAGCAGAGTGTGAGTGTGTATATACATGTACAAATACAAACAGGCTCTCCCAAACTTGGGGCCCAGCTCTTTAAAAATAAAACTCTCTTTAAAAAAACAAAAAACATTCCACTGAATAAAATAACCATGGCTAAAGTGATTGTTAGTAATGGTATCCCCTTGTATGAATGTAGAATATCCCTCCCTACGTGGAGCAAGGTATAAAGATAAAACCTCAAGACTTTGACAGTAAAGGCAGGCAAAAAACATGCCAGAGTTCTAAAGCTGTAGTTCAACAGTAATCAAAACAGGACAGAAAAAGTAAGACGTGTGTTAACTTTTTAAAACTACTCATCTTTCATGTTTGCTTCTTTGTTCCACAAAAGTTAGGGGCACATAGCATTACAGCCTCAGCAAGGTCTCATAACCATTTGGGGCTTCGATATCCTTAACTGTTACGTGAGAGGGTTGAGTACACCACTAATTTTTCCAATTGTAGTGTCCTACAATTTTATAATTTCAAAGTCATAGAAAGGCCTAAAAATCGATTTCAAGTTTGATATAGCTATCAGTCTGTCATCTGAATAGTTTTTAAACCTATTTTCTAGAATGGACTATAGTCAAGTGTGCGACACATAGACTTAAAAGATATGTATATGTATGTGTAAGCTTTTATTGGAGAGATGCTCAGAGAGAAAGCTATACCAGTTATTCCAGGCCAGCTGAAGGCCTAGGCTCCCATCCACCCCTCCCCATTCATGGTTCTTCCTTGAGAGATGTCATGTATTTTTGGGATGATGGAAAACGCGAGGCTGATATAGCATCTTGTCTCTACCACACCCTGGCCATCATGTATAATCCAAAACTAAATCTTTTTCTTACCTTCAACTTCAAAATTAATAACCTGTTTACCTGTATTTAACAGTGAGCAATTTACAGTGTATACACCTTCTTGAGAACAGTGGAAGATCAAAGAGCTTTTCTTATAACCTGCAATCAGCCACTCAATCAAAATACAAAACAAAGCCTCGACTGCCTCTGGAGGAAGACTGTGCCCGGGGTAACTGCAATAAGCTAGTGTAGAGTTCTATCTGTTGACTTTGTTTGGATGTTATCTAAACCTGCGCTGAGAAGACCAGGGTCCACTGTGCCCAATCAGAACTGTCTAGCTGTCTGCCTTCACCTGTCAGTGTGGCCACAAAGGAGGATGTATGACTCTGTCAAGTCTAAGGAAAACTAAGAACATGCAGGCTGCTGGGGTGGGACTTCTGCCAGCCAGCTGGTGCAGGCCTGGTTCTCTGACTTCAGTGAAGAAACTAAATGAGACGGCAAGGAGCCTGTCCTGCAGCAACCACCTTCATTTCACCATTTTTCCGGAATCTAATGCAACCAATTTCATTACAGAAACTACATCCTATTATTCCATTATCAGTTTTAAATTTTAGACCGGAATCATGACCCAGCATTTGCTTTTAGAAATTACCTGTAAGATTACAATAGGTGCTCTGTTCACCTCTGCTGATTCCTTACGTATTTTACAGTCATGTTAGCCTCTGAAGGCCACAGGCTGCTGCCACGCCCTCTGTAAACAGAGATGCTGGTATCACCGACACCAAGGAAATGGGCAGGTGTACAGACAGGCATTTATGCACCAGGTACCAAGGCCTTACCATTCCACTTGTATTTTCTGCGCGACTTGCAGAGATAAGCAATCATCAAAATGTCATTCCTATTGATGGGAAACCGCTAACTACATATATTCTAGCTCTCTAAGCACACCTGGTTTAAACAAAATCTAGTGATTTGGGGCTTTTTCACATTTTTTATGGCAAAGCTAATGTAGGAATGGAGACAGACACAAAGAGTGACATAGGAGGCTCACAAATACTTCTAGAACTTCTTCCATTTTCTTAAGATTACCGTCACCATTGTCCTGACAGTAAGAAATAGGAAGCAACAAAGTATTAATGTAATCCCCTTGATTTTTTTTAATAGTTTGCTAATTAAATTATTTCATGACTAGAAAAATCTATCATAGAAAACACAATACAGCTGGTAATTTTTGGAGAACTGTAATGGATTAGAAAATCACTTTTAAAAGTAGTTATCTCAGACCAACCACCATTTAGGTACAGGAAAACCAAAACAACTATCTTGAAATCTTGCCCTCCTGCACTAAGTGCTACAAAACCTCTGCAAATAACACCATAGTGAGAAGCTCAATCTCGTCATAAGTAAGAGTAACCACCCTCAAACAAAACGATGAGGTTTGCCTGGATGGGATTTCAAAGATTTAGCTAATTTTTTGGTAAATAGTAGATAGTACCATGTTATCACTCTTAGTACCATGTTATCACTCTGTATTTTGTAAATATTTGATTCCTATGAAATGTAAATATACTGCCACATATCATGTGCTACTCCAGGAAGTCAGCCTGCATTGTTTTCCTACCTTAGTGCAAAAGAATGTTCGTAACAACTTCTTTAAAAGTTCAGCTTTAATGACAAACATTTCTTACATCAGTCTCTTCAAAATTAGATATGAATAAACAATTTTAAACAGGAAGTGCCATGGTGCCTCTTTCATATACTGTATTCAACACACTGGGCCCCTGAGGATGCCCGGTGATATACACATTAAAACAATAATGTAAGTCCGTAAGCCACTGCTCCTGAACACCTCCACTCTTCAATGCCTGTAAAAAAACACACACAAGAGTAATTTGAGAATTCCACTAAAATTGCTATGCTACCTGAAGTGCTTTTCACATCCAAACTTGCCAAGAGCCACTGCAACAGTATCCTCATCTATAAATCACCACAGGAACTCTTACTGCAAATGGGGACCTATTAATTAGGCACTATTAGGCAGTGAAAAATTCCTAGTTACGCCCTTTCATATAAGTGATGCCAGTTTCTCATTTTGTTTGTTCCCTCCCACAGATGATAGGGACTGATGAAATTTCATCACCCACCATCCCTACACTGGACTTCCTCCTTTGGTATTCTAGAGTCTCTCGATCTTTGTCCAGGGCAGACAACAATTTCTGTCATTTCTTCCTCAACCTTCTATTTCTGAATTACTATTACATATACTAATCAATAATCTCCCCCAACCAAATACCTATACCCAAAAAAAAAAAAAAAATTCTCCCAAACTAAAAATGCCAAAGGAACCTGATAACAGAACTGCCCCCACCCCTCAAAAAACACACAACTGAATACAACCAACCATTAGACAAAGCTGAAGCCTACAACTTCAACTTTTTACTCTCAGGGAACCAACTAGAAATTGGCCTAACGTTTATTCCTGCTAAATAATTTCCTAATAACAGCTACCTAAAACTTTACGTGGCTGACCTCATTAATGGTCACCAAAACCCAACAAAATTACTATAGTCCCACTTCTACACCTAGGAAAACAAGCTTGGCTAGGTTTAAAAACAAAACTTATCAAACAATCAGTTAATCATCAGTCTCTATTAGTGATGACTAAGGCCTGTACCTTTTCCAACTGCACCTTAATTCGGTTTATGTATTTTAAGGCTTTCATGGCCAATTTTGGGACTAAGGAAATCCCATAGGTTAAGCGACTATACTACAGGAGAAACCTTGGGAAATCCCAACTGGGCTTGATTCCATGAGTTTGGTCAATGCACAGGAACCCTGTGCACCTCCATGCCTTGCCTGAAACCTTTCTAGGACTAAAAATACGAAGCATTTGTTCTATGCTCTTACCGTGATGTTCTTGATGATCTGCTGCACCAAGATGGCATTGGTCAACATATGAGTCCTAAGGGGTGCGTGCTGAAGCAGCAGGCGAAGCAGCTGGCCCACAACAGGCAGCTCCTCAGGAGCAGCTCTGCTCACCCGCAGGCTCTGCAGCATCAATCTGAGGACTCGCGGCAGGAGAGCCAGGACAGACACACAGACCCCCCACAGTTTGTCCCTACAAGAAGCAACAAAAACGAGTCAGTGAGCCAACACATTCAGAAAAGATTAAAGATCTTGTATAGCATGTATGCATTACCTATGGACACAGACAATAGGGTGGCGAGGGGGTGGGGTGGAGGGAACTCTGGGAAGAAAAAGGAAGGACATCTATAATAATCTCAACAATAAAATTAATTTAAAAAACTTCCTGCAATGAATTTAATAGGCATACCACTAAGAACATAGGCATGAGAACACTTTTTAAAAATTGAAGTGAAATATTCCAAACTGCCCTAGAAGCTTTAGTCCGAATTTCCTATGGGAACAAAAGTAATAACTAATTAAAACACTAGTATTTTACAACAATTAAGTTCAAGAATTTAAAATTCCACTTTGGCTATTTCTAATGAAGCCCAGAGGCTTATACTAGTAAACTCATCCTTCTAAAGGTAGCAATGTTAATAAAGAAAGTTCTCAAAAAACTTATAATACTATCTAACTTTTCAAATCTGTTGCTTAAAAGAAAAAATGAAATTGAAAAATTTTCAAACCATAAAGGAGAGTCATGAAAGGACAAAGAAAAAGCTCTGGTGATGGAAGGAGGCTTGACTTTGGGTGATGCACACACATACAATATACAGATGATGTGCTGCAGAATCATACACCTGAGGTCTATATAATTTTATTGTCACCCCAATAAATTCAATATAAAAGAAAACTAGGTTTATACAAACTTTGAAAAGGCTTTTAGGATATTTCTAAAATCCAATTCTCCTTCACTTGCAATTTTTTTTTTGATTGATGGGGAGAATGGAACAAGTTAGAGAAAAATGTAAACTGAACAAAAATGATTACCTCTTTCTTAGATGCTCTGCTTCTCCTTTCTCTAAAGTGAGCAGGAAATACAGAAGACTATAGCAACAGGAAGCCAGGAACGGCAGCAGAGCCTCACTGAGTACACATGTGTGATCCAGGAGCCTACAGATTACACCCAAAACACAGCCAGCGGTGCTGTCAGGAATTACAGTGAACCCAACCTAGGCAGAGAAAAAATGAGATTGATGACGTCTACACAAGTCCTATTAACTGGACCATTAGCCTTACAACACTTCCACTGCAAAGTAGTATGCACACAATGCATGTCACCTGCCACACCTTGAGGCCCTGTTTTCCTTTGAAAATGTAATCTCTACATTAAATACATTGAAAAGCAAATTCAAGAAATACTAGTAACCCAATCCATTGCTTCCTCTCATGACAAAGTCTTCTAAAACTTTCCAGGTATTACAGAGTCTACTACTGGTTAGAAATACCATTATTTAAAAGGATTATTTCATGCATCCAAAGAAAATCTTGATACCAACAATCACACTTACCTGATCTTTAGATTATCCAAACTGGAAAACACTAATATCTGGCACCAACCCCACCCCAGGTAATTAAGTATACAAAACAATTAATTGTGCAATTACTCTTCCTATGTCCTTTGATTTAGCTAGTCATTCAGACATGATTTAGTAATGGAATCAAGAAACTACTACTTAACACTCAATAGCTACACTGCTCCAAACCCCAGGTAAAGATCATGGAACCCTAATTCATCTGGATTCTACTGTATAAACTGTAAGGTGGGCTCTAACTTGTAACTGTATATATACATGGTTTAAAATCTTAGAAACTATCATTGGATAGTCATAAAAAAAGTCTACAGGCTCTGAGGTCTTAATCTTTCCATCAGGCTGTCTGACAATAATGGCCTAGACCAGTGGTCGGCAAACTCTTATTAGTCAACAGAGCCAAAAATCAACGGTACAACCATTAAAATTTCTTTTGAGAGCCAAATTTTTTAAACTTCTAACACACTTCTTCAAAATAGACTCGCCCAGGCCATGGTATTTTGTGGAAGAGCCACACTCAAGGGGCCAAAGAGCCACATGTGATTCTCAAGCCGCAGTTTGCCAACCCTGGACCTAAACTGTCATATGCATCTACGAGGATAATGAATGTATTCAAAGGAGGCATACATTTCTGGACCAGGGGTTTAAAAAACACAAGGTGGGGATCTTTGGAGACAAAAGGGATAAGGATTAGAAGTTGATAGCAGGCAGAAAAATAGCAATGGGAAAACAAAGCAGTATTCTTCCAACATTTTAAAGGAGGAGGTGTGGACGTGCCTATAAAATGCAAACAAAATCTCTGGAAAATAAAATTTCAGGTCTCTCCCTTGTACTATAATACATTCTTATAATAAAAAGCCAAAATTCAAAGTGTAAGTGTTGGAGGAAATTAAAAGCAAAACCCAGGCATACCTAATGTGAATTTAATACCAATGGGAATAAGAGACACTCACTGGCGAGAAGAAAAGTCTCATGACTGAGCTTCCTGCCTCTAGTTACCAGGCCTTGCGCCAGTTAGGCGACTTCCCTGTAGTTTAGATCAAGCATGTCAAACATTTGGCCTGCCAGCCACAAGTTTGACATGCTTGCTTTAGACTGCAAATGTTCTGGGTGGAAATTCGATCCCGGTCTGGATACTGGGTTCCCAATACACTAACATCAGGCACATGTTAAAGCATTACAGTCAGAAGACCTGAGGCATAATTTTAAGGTCTTTCATTGCACAGATGTAGAAAGTACAGTCCTGGTATCAGGCAATTTTCCCAAGTCCAAAAATTAATTAGCAACAGTCAGAAAAAATAAGATTTCTCATAGCATCATGCTATGAGAGGTTATTGAGCTTAGGATTCCAGATTCTCACTCTCTCCTAGGCTATGACAAACCTAATCTTAACCAATGAATCTATATGCTCTTCTGTGTAACAGAAAAAAAAGTTTAAGTATATTTACCAAATGCTTACTGATGGCACTTTGCACGATGTCAAAGCTCTGGCTTCGGGCAGGGATAACCAATAGACTGTGACACACTGTCTGTCAGAAAAGAAGAAAACCAGTAACCAAATTAGGACATTTTAGGTCAGAAACAAGTTAAACCGTTTGTTTTTTTTTAACCTACTTGCTCTACATATTAATGGGAAACAACAAAAAATGACTCTGAAGATGCAAAGGTCAAACAAGCCTCATATATGAACTAATTTTCCAAATACAGTAATTCATTTTATTAAGCATTTAGTTAGTGCTGAGTTAGTCCTTTTAGGTGCCATGCCCTAGAATGAAAGAATAAGAAACTTCTCTCTCACACCCTAAAGTAGCTGATAATTTCCCGAGATAGAGGTTGTATTTCTATTAAATGCTATAATAAAAAGAACTGAATGATTTTAACAAAAGACTGACAAAAGCCTTTTCTCCATTTGGTGGAAAAACGTCATACAAAAACTCTTAAGATCCAGATATTAATACCCTGTTTGAATTAATTGTAACACTGCCTCCTATTCTCCAAAGGTAAAAGACAACAGTTGATAGGAAAAGAAGAAAATGAGGGGCATGAGAAATAAGCAGAGGGAAGGACAGCACTGAGTTCTGAGGCACTGTGACAAACGCCAAAAGCTGATGAGTGTAGTGCTAACAATGAAACATGTAGAAAAACCACAAGGAGAGACAGATGAAACTGGTGCAAAGAAAAACATCACTCCAGGAAGAGGATAATCTCACTACATTCGAGAGAATTGCCAATCACC